ACTGAGCCACCCAGGCGCCCTACAAATAATATTTCTGATAAGAAACCTGGATCTAGACTATATAAAGAACTCTTACAATTTAACAATGAAAAGACAATAACCCAATTTAAAAATGGGTTTTCTCCATTTCTCCATGCCTCCAAAGAGAACATACAAAGAGCCACTAAATACATTTTAATGCTCCACATCATTAGTCATTAGGGAAATACAAATCAAGACTACAGCGAGATACCACTTTGTACCCACTAAAATAGCTATAATCAAAGAGACAATAATAATAAGTGTTGACAAGGATGTGGAGAAACAAGGCCCCAGAGAGGGTTGGTAAGAATGTGTACAATGGTTCAATGATGTTGGAAAATGGTCTGGCAGCTCCTTAACATGTGAAACAGAGAATTACCATATGACCCAGGAACTCCACTCCTATTACCCGAGGCATATTAGGTATGCCTTGGGATACCTATACTTAGATACATCAGCCAAGAGAAATGAAAGCATGTTTGCACAGAAACTTGTACACGAATATTCAAAGCAGCATTACCAGTAATAGCCAAAGAGTGAAAACAACCCCAATGTTGGTCAACTGATGAATGGATAAACAAAATATGGTGTAGCCACAACTAGGAATGTTTTTCAACAATAAAAAGGTCTGAAGCACTGCTAGAGGCAACAACATGGATGAAACCTCTTCCTAAGTCAGAGAAGCCAGACACAAATGACCAAGTATTATGATTCCATTTGATACAAGGTCTAAAATCATTTGTGCACTTTAACTGGGTGTATATTTACAGTATATGAATTAGATCTCAATAAAGCTGTTCAAAAATCTATACAGGACAAAAATAGCCACGTATAAATTATCTGTAAACCTAGGATTTTTAAACATTAAATCCTAAGATTATAGTATCATGGGAAAAAAGACAAATATGAAAGAAACTAACCTACTCAGTACTACTGAAACCTGGACAATGAAAGAATGAGTTAAGGGAAATGGTCTGTGTGGAAATAAGGTAAGATAAAACTTAAAGCAAGAGTTATCTTGTGTGTCTAGTATCATCCAAGGCAGGGAGTGGCCTGGCCAGATACTCACCTATCTCATTCCGTTGGCAGGTGTACCCCTTTAGTAGAGATGAATTAATTATACGATCACACAATGATATTTATCATAAATACCATTTTACAAACTCCACTTGCTCTGATTTCAAACTCACCAGGCCACTTCTCTAATTGTAAATGTCCCACAGACTTATCTGATAGGATTGTGATGATCAGCTGATTCTGGTATATAGTTCATTAGAAATTAGTAAATTAATCCCCCGGTTTAGATTCATCACTTATGATATCGGTTAGTATGAACCAATCCTCATGAGACTTATGAACTTTGGCTGCTTTTAGCAAACTATTTCTCAGCCTACAAAGTTCATGACCAGTGACTCTCAACCATGGGGACATTCCCAAAACAGGATTCCTAAGAGGTTAATCCATTGTATACTTCAGGCAGAGGTGGGGAAAGTAAGGTTCCCTAGCCTCTCCCACCTCCACTGACAATCACCGCTAGATGAAGCCACTGTCATGGATATGGGAGTACATGGTCTTGGGTAGGTTGGCATGCCCTGGACTGAGAGCCTTCCACCAAGATCCTACCAGCCTCTGAGGCCCAGACTGAGCAACACCCTAGCCTTCCTCAGTGCACCTCCATCTCAGCTCCAACTTCCATACTTTCAGATCCCCACATTCTATTATGTTATCCAATCTGACCTCACTTTACAGATGAAATAGTGGGACCCACAGAGCTTAAGAATCTTACCTAAAATCACCCAGCTAATTAATGGCAGAGTAAGAATCCGAACCAGAGTCTTTGGATTCCCAGCCCAATGTTTTATTCATTCTGTAGTGCTGCCTTTGTTTCAGGCCATTTGAATGCACAGCTTGCATTTGAGGAAATTCCCTTACCCCCTGCTGAGCAACCTCCTTCTTATGCCCAAGGCAGCAGCTTCAGGCCCTTACAGTATTCTCACAGGCTATTTAACACCCTCATTTGTAAGTCAGGTCCCAAGATTTTTTTGAATTTTAAAAAAATCCTATAAAATTTTATATCTTTATATTCATTGACTATCTCTGCAAGAATACATTAGAAGTCAGTGACAGAATCCGGGGGCGCCTGGGTGGCTCAGTCAGTTAAGTGTCTGACTCTTGATTTCAGCTCAGGTCATGATCTCAGGGTCATGGGATTGAACCCTACATCAGGCTCTGTGCTGGGAGTGGAGCCTGCTTAAGATTTTCTCTCTCCCTCTTCCTCTGTCCCATACCCCTCCCTCAAAAAAAAAAGGAAAAAAAGTCTGGGGCCCCTGGGTGGCTCAGTTGGTTAAGCATCTGCCTTCGGCTCAGGTCATGATCCCAGGATCCTGGGATCCAGTCCCGTGTGGGGCTCCCTGATCAGCGGGGAGTCTGCTTCTCCCTCTGCCTGCCACTCCCCACTGCTTGTGCTCTCTCTCTTGCTCTCTCTCTGAAAAATAAATAAATAAAATCTTAAAAAAAAAAAAAAAAAAGTCAGTGACCGTCTCCGGTAAAGAACTAAGCCAAGTAGAGGAAGAGAGACTTTTCATGAAATATCTTTTCAGTATTATTGGAATCCTTACCATATGCTTTTATTGCCCATATAAAAACATAATTTTTAAAAAGCCGTGCCATAAAAAGGCCTACAAAATCCCAACATGTATACAATATACCTATCACACAGAGCATTCTCATTGAAAAGAATAAACATTACCAAATATCTGAGCCACCTTTATTTTTTTCCACTGTTAGAAAGGATTATTTTACACCCTTCACCTGACAACTTTACAGATAATGTGCGCAGAATGCTAGGTAGTTCCCTGCTTAGAGGCAGCCCGTCCGGTGGAGGAGAATGCTGAGACAGCCACCTATAACTGCTGAGAAGTTTGTTGCCATTTTCCTGTGAGGCTGTGAAAAACTAGATTTGCTTAAAATGTCCCTCAGTCTCTTTATAAAGATTTTATTTATTTTTAGAGAGAGTACAGCGGGGGAGGGGCAGAGGGAGAAGGAAAGAGAGAATCCCAAGCAGTTGGCTGAGCACTGGCTCCAAGCAGAGCTCAATCGCACGACCCTGAGATCATGATCTGAACTGAAATCAAGAGTTGGATGCTCAAGTGACTGAGCCACCCAGGTGCCCATCCCTCAGTCTCTTTAAAGGAAGCCAGGTGGAGGGAGGCTACTGCTGCTATATTAACCTCCCCAGTGGTTTCAAGGAAGTCTATCTATAAAAAGCCCTATTGCCAGGCTCCCCCGGGACAGGTCACCCACAGCAGGGTCTCCAGCCTTTGGAACCCAAGCACCCTGGGGATCCCTAAGCCCGTAAGTAGATTTCACTGACACTCGCCAAGATGCGTGAAGGGTGGGCTCTGTACACCCGGCTGCGCGGGCATTCCCACGGGGGCCCACGGACAGGCAAGCTCTGTCCTGTGTGTGTCACCTGGACGCAGGGAGAGCCCGGGGCGGCTGGGGCCCAGAGGCTGGGCCCACAGGTCCCTGTCCGCAGTGGCCAGCCCTCTGGGGCCCTCGCAGGGGGTGGGGGAGGGGGAGAAATTGTGATGGTCATGTGCCCAGCCAGGTGGCTCCAGACGGCTCTGGACTGTCCGTGGCCACTGATGCTGTTATTTAGACCTTTAAGCCACACCTAGGCATCTGGAGCTAGGCGTCTGGAGCCACACCTAAGCGGCTGCTCCTCTCTGCACACATGAGGTGGGCCAGGGGCCTGAGCAGGACAATGGAGGCCATCACAGCCACCTAGAAGCCAGAGGTCTCCTATGGTGGCAAAGACTCACATACAGGGATCCCTGAAGACCACTGGGCAACACTCCCCTTCCAGGCGCAGTTGAGGAGGAAGGAGCCCACCAGCTGGTGACTTGAGTGGCAGTGGAACGCAACGACAGCCCCATTAGCGCCATCGCCACAAAAGACCTAGAAGGTGCCATGCGGGAGTGGCCATACATGAGTGCGAGCGCCAGAGCCTTCCCAGGGCGGGCATGGCATTCCAACCTGCCAGGGCCTCGCCCTACAGAGGGTGGCCCTGCACATCCCTGCATGCCACGCAGAGACCTCTTTCCCAGTTTTTAAGGATTCCACCTTTAAAGCAACTTATTACACGAGAAGTCCCATTATTCATTCCAACATTAGACAAAGCTGTAGAGGTATGTCTAGGCACCTACAGAGTCTAGACACTTTATTAATGATCCTACATAGGTAGACTCAAGCTATAGGATGTCCTGAATTAAATAACATGCATATGAAACTGCAAAAAGGAAAGCAATAGATGTTGGGTATAGGTTCTAAGCTGACTAACGATGATCATAGCAAATAACGATGTACAACTGTTCATTTATTTCTTCCTTCATTCAGATATTTAGGGAAGGATTAGTATGTGCCTAGCCCTATGCTAGGAACTTCTGATATAATGGTCATCACAAGTAGACTTGGCTCCTGTGCTCATGGTGCTTAGCCCAGTAGAGGAAACAAACATAAATCAAATCACTGAAAAACAGAATTAATATGTAGCTGAAAATTAGGACCTAGTGTTGTGAAGAAAATTGTGCTATAAGCAGTTGAGGCTTTAAGCAGCCCAGCAGCATGTTCAGATCTACATTTTAGAATAAGAAAAAAATCTTGTACTTAAATGAAATTACAGTGCAGAAATGTAAGGCAGCAGGACCAAACTGCTACATAGAAATACAATGTTAACATTCTTCTAATTCTTAGGAAAGGTGCCAAGGAATTTTCAGTGATTAGAAATCCAAGGTCAGTGTTATGGCTGTGCTCCTGGAAGCAGTTTGGTCTTGCGGAGCCCAGGGCCTTGGTTCAGCAAATACTACCTCCAGACACTGCTTAGTAACATCAAAGTCTTTTGCTTTCCTGCCTTCTTTCCAGGACCCTGCCAAGACTTCACGGTCAAGACTATCAGCATCATGGTCAGTATAGCTGTCCACTTATTTCAAAACAGGAGGGAGACTCCTGATTTACTCACCTGATAATCGAGCTTCATCTGTCGAAGCTTCATGGTCTCATCCTCAAAGGCACTGTTTAAAAAAAAAAAAAAAAGAAAAAGAAAAAAGCATGTAAAGAAAAAATTCTGTTACAACTATGTCAATTTCATCTTTTCCATGTATCTACTCCTTTGGGCTGTTTGGAACAAATGGAAAGCATCTGTGTTTAGATGTTACCCACATCTGCAGGACTTGCCATCCTTAATGCCACACTTATTCCACAGAGGACCTCAGGAGACTGAAGTACCCAAAGAGTAAAAAATGACGTAGTGTGGCACGAGAATGGCTCAGTCAGTTAAGTGTCTGACTCCTGATTTCGGCTCAGGTCATGATCTCAAGTTTGTGAGATCAAGCCCCACACTGGGCATGGAGCCTGCTCAAGATTCTCTCTCTCCCTATCCCCCTGCCCTACCCGCCCTCAAATAAATAAATAAATCTTAAAAAAAAAAAAAAAATGTAGAACACAGACCCTCACGCATGCAGGGATTTTTTTTTTTTTTAAACCGTATGTTGAGTACTTACTATAGGCCAGGCACAGTGAAGTACTTTACATGCATTATTTTATTAATTCCTCAAAACAACTCTCTGAATTAGGTACTATTATTTTTCACACTTTGAAGCTGGAGAAACAGACTTGGAGGGCCACGCATAAGGTTAAACAGCAGAAACAGACCGTAATCCAGGTCTCTTTCTGGAGTCTAAATTCCACCTAAAATTCATTTGTCGTCTTTTTTGGAGCTACCTCTAGGGAAGAGAATGAGACTATAAAGGGGCTCAGGGAAGGCTGCTCCCAGATATGTCAAAGTGGCACACTGATAATTCTCAAGTAAAGTTTACTCGAGAAACAGCCAATGCAGGCACATTCTGACACTCCTGTTTGTCCCCCTGAAAGCAGGAAATAAATTTCCCATGTGAAAGTTGCCCTCCCTGTACTCGGAGGTAAAGAAACATCCTTATCACCAGAGATAGAGAATTCAAAGCCTAGAAATCCGTGTACACAAACTCTGCTTAATTTCTTCACTAATTAGTACCCAGGACTAAGTTTCTTTGTCTTGTCAGTTCTTCACAAATTTATTGTTTCTTTTTCTAAAAGGTATATAAACCACCTGCTTTGGTTATTTCTTAGGCCCATATCTACAAGACCTCCATACATGCAAAATTAAAATTCTTTTTCTCCTGTTAATGTCTTGTGTCAATTTAATTATTAGACCAGTCAAAAGAAGCAAGATGGGCAGGGTAAAAATCTCCCCCACCCCAACAACTGTGTATGGTATCTTTTTTTTTTTTTAAAGATATATTTATTTGACAGAGACACAGTGAGAGAGGGAACACGAGCAGAGGGAGTGGGAGGGGGAGTAGCAGGCTTCCCACGGAGCAGGGAGCCCGAGGCGGGGCTCAATCCCAGGACCCTGGGATCATGACCTGAGCTGAAGGCAGACGCTTAACGACTGAGCCACCCAGGCGCCCCTGTGTATGGTATCTTACTACAGCCCACTGATTTCCTCAAGATCTAGGCAAGTCATTTAACTTACTTTTCAAGTTTGCCATTAATAAAACATGGTGCCAGTCATGCAAGGACACTAAGTATGGTTGAACAGACAAGACTTACCACCACTAGGAGACAGATTTGTTTGGTGGAAGAAAACAACAAAAACTGAATCAAATTACTGTCTCCACATCCTTTTGAACTTTTGAAAAACTCTCTCAGAAGCTGTTCCTATTTTTGAAAATTTTCTAATTTAAGATTTTATTTTGTGACTCAGCATTCTTGGAAAGAGTATGAAACAAGGCAGAAATGGTTCTCAATTATTATTATTATTGTATTATAAATTTTTACTGGGAATCTTCTGTCAGAAAAACTATAAATACAAGGTCCTATTTAAGAAGACAAATTCCATGGCTACAAAAGGAAGCATGGCTTTTCCTGCATTTGAGGTAAAAATACCAAAGCATCTATCCATGGCTTAATGGTTTACCACTACCTTCACATATTTTAGGTGTTATGCATTTTAATAATGCATAGCAACGTGGAATTTATGTACTATCTCCAAGGCTCCTCCTGCCTACTAACCTGTAAGCAGATTTAATAATCCCTTAGATATATAGATGACATTCTGGTTCTCTGACAATTCCCCTTTATTAATTTCCTTATAAATTATATGCTTAAAAAAAAAAAGCTGGGTGTTCAAAATAAGTCATCTCCTTTTCCCAGTTCAAAAGAGGAACAAATGGGGGCGCCTGGGTGGCTCAGTCGTTAAGCATCTCCCTTGGGCTCAGGTCATGATCCCAGGGTCCTGGGACAGAGCCCTGCATCAGGCTCCCTGCTCCACGGGAAGCCTGCTTCTCCATCTCCCACTCCCCCTGTTTGTGTTCCCTCTCTTGCTGTGTCTCTAATAAATAAATAAAATATTTTTAAAAAAGATTTTATTTATTCATTTGAGAGAAAGAGAGAGCATGAGTTGGTGGGGGGAGAGGCAGACTCCCCACTGAGCTGGGAGCCCAATGTGGGGCTCAATCCCAGGACCTGGAGATCATGACCTGAGCCAAAGGCAGATGCTTAACCAGTTGAGGCACCCAGGCGCCCCTCAGCTCAGGTCTTGATCTCAGGGTTGTGAGTTTGAGTCCTCTATCGGGTTCTGCTCTGGGTGTGGAACCTACTTAAAAAAAAAAAAAAAAAAAAAAGAGGGGCAAACAAATAAAAATGTCAGATATGATATACACAGGCCTTGATTTTGTGGGCCCCTAACATTTCTCCTAGATATGTTCCTGTTTCCCTTAGTGTTTTTAATCCTCATTCACATATTTTAAAATCTTAGCTTTATGAATATAGTGCTAGAATGTTATTAGTATTCAGTGGATATTAGTATAAATTTGAAAAAATTCTACATAAAACAACTAAGATGTGGCACCTGGGTGACTCAGTTGGTTGAACGTTGGACTCTTGGTTTCGGCTCAGGTCAAGATCTCATGGGTCGTGAGAGCCCGTGAGCCTGTGTGGGACTCTGCACTCAGCGGGGAATCTGCTTGAAGATTCTCTCTCCCTTTCCCTTTGCCCCTCCCCCTGCACTCTCTCTCTAAAATACATAAATCTTTTTCTTTTTAAAGAAAATGATTAAGACAAAAAATTATGAATATAAATATATATAGGGAAAAATTGTGAATATACAGCAATGGGTAACATGGTATAAAAATGCACTGTTATGTACTAGTATTTTCAACAGCTACTGCTATGAATCTTGTTTTTCCTCTACCTCACTCTGCTCTCAACACTAAACCAGAACTGCAAAATCCCCTGGCATGTAAAAGAAATCATCTTATCCCACCCCCTCACCCCATCCCTCCACACACACACAGACACACACACACACCTAATGCTAAAACCTCCTCAATCACGGTAAGTTCTGACACACAGCTAAAGTCCTCAAACATTTCTCTTAAGGCCTCTAATAGTGAGGAAACCAGCTGTATCCTCAATGCCTATCTTGACACCATTTAATTCCTTTCATCAAGCCTGGGCAAGCTGAACAGACAATTTAAATAAACAGGATTTGTTTTGACCTGAACAAAAGAGGCACTAAAAAGATGCTATATAATTGTAACATTTAGATACCTCCTATACATCAAAAGCTATACTTTCTTTGAGCTTTAGTTTTAAATGATAATTTAGCAGAAATAACAGATATTTTATATACTTATATTAATCTGAACTAGAATTTCTAGTCTAACCTGGAATATGATCTTATGAAATTTGCATTTTTTTCCTTAATATTCTCTACTTCCTTTCAAATGAAGTTGTTTAATTGCAAGCCTAACCAAGGCTGGTAGTAAAGTAACACAAAACAGAAAGAATTCCTACAGAGTAAAAGAAATGGAATTACTGTATTTCCTCCCATTTTTCTCATGGAAAATTTCCTATTTCCTTGATACAAACTGGGAAAATCCTAAACATACATCTTAGAAAAACCAATCCAACATTCAAGGGTGGCATATAATTATGCCCACAGAACACCATTCTCTTGAAGTACTCTCCATTATATATATTTGCATCATATATATATCATATAGCATAATATATATTTAACATATATAATGCAATGCTCATCATAAGTATAGTCACCATATCTCTCACCATAGAACATTATTACAACATTTTTGACTATATCCCCTATGCTATACTTTTTATCCTCATGACTTATTTTATTTTTTAAAAGACTTTATTTATTTGAGAGAGAGAATGAAAGAGAGAGAGCAACAAGAGGGGGGAGGGTCAGAGGGAGAAGCAGACTCCCTGCTGAACAGGAAGCCCGAGTGGGACTCGATCCCGGGACTCCAGGATCATGACCTGAGCCGAAGGCAGTCGCTTAACCAACTGAGCCACCCAGGCGCCCTCCTCATGACTTATTTTATAACAGGATGTTTATATCTGTTAATGCTCTTCACCTATTTACCCTATTATTTCTTTAATTGAAAGGATTTTTGAGATAATCTATGTGTTACAAGAAGATTGTTGGTGCCAACCCTTTTTGTACAATTATTTTTCTTTCTAATGTTTTTCTTCATCGATTATAAAAACAATTCATACCGATTTTATAAATTTTGAAAAAATTTATAAAGAAAATGAAAGTCTCTTTATAATCCTACCATCTTGAGATATAATCCCTGCTAACAAGGAAACAAACATCTTTACGAGTACTTCTATACATTTGAAAATAATATTTATGATTTTTGTACCATTTTAACTCAAGATTATATCATAAGCATCTTTTATGTTATTATATAGGTTTTAGAAATATAATATTAAATGGCTATCTAATAGTCTATCACATGGACTTTCCATAAATTTTTTTCTTCTTTTTTTATTATGGTAAAGACATGTACCATAAAATGAAACATTTTAACCATTTTTAAGTGGACAGTTCGGTAGTGTTGAGTACATTTACGTTGTTGTTTGCATACAAATTTTTATAGCATCATTATCCACAAGAGCCCAAAAGTAGAAACCTCTCAAGTGTCCATCAACTAATGAACAAGTA